GGGCTGGGGCCTTTATATACCCTGGCCGGGGCTCATGACCACATTTGTTTATATTTTGGCTAATTAAGTAGAATCTTTTTTGACTCATGGCTGCTTGTGACACATGCATGACCCCATGCGAGAATTCTTGCAGCTCTAAGTAGTATGAATGTATTGGCGCTGTCCGTGGTGAAAACTAGGAATTCCTACCATCTGAGATGGCAGCAGCTCTCAGAATGGGCAGATAATTGCATGTTTATGGGGTGCATGGTGGTGTTTTGGTGCAGGCAGCCATCATTTATTGCTTGACTCAGGAAACTTAGGTGTTCCATCATTTCTTTGTGATGAGAAAATGTGAAATTCTCTCTTGCAACTTTTACATTTACATAACACACTATCATTAACTGTAACCGCCCTCTGGGGAAGGCTACACCCAGCCTATTCTCCCTACCTGGCTGTGTGTTTGTACTTATGAACCGTGTTCTTATTTCTCCTTGCTTGATGCTTGGGTTGAGTTCATAGGACCCAGTTAAACCTCAACAACAGTCCCAAGAGAACTTCAATTTTTAAGAGAAATGAAATGCAGAGAAATCTGTAGGTCACTAAGTCCCTGTCCCCGGGGAGGTTCTTTGGAGCATCTCTGGGTGAGTCAGACAGGCGTCAGGCACGACCTTCCATGGGGTCTGCGGGATGTGATTGCTTATTCTTTCAAATAAAAAATGTACGTCTTGAAACGCGCTGCAGCAGATATACAGAAAAGCAAAAGTTTGATCTGTAAACAGCGAAGTGTTGGAACGAACGATCCAAGACTCTCGTGCATTCTTTCTCTTCTCTAGTTAGGCTGTGTGCAGCGCCGCGCCTTTTGGCCACAGACTGCTGATTTTTTCTTGTCTCTGAAACATGATTTTTTTAAAAAAAACCTTTCTTTTGTATGTAATGAAGTCACGTCATTGGCAAACTTTTTTCTTCATCTATCATGACGCAGGCGCTTTGAGCGCCGGGGGACATGACGGAGGTTTTCTCCCTGGTCTTGCATACAGGCGCGCAGCGCATGTTGGGAACACATATGCGGTTGGGGCGGGTGGCTCTTCCAGCTGCGCTCTGAGGCTCCGCCAAAGCTCTGCCGAAAGGCGATGGGCAGCTTCTCCAGGCAGCACCCCCCGAGGCAGCATGGCAATTGCTTGACGGACAAGTCCCCACTTTCCGTCCTGTGATGGCCAGCGGGACTTGGGTCACTTTAGGGTCATTCACTCCCTCCTGAAGGCTGTTCTTTGGGCCTCAGGATCCAATGCTCCGCTAACGAAATCTCAAACAAAATCTCAAAACTTAAAAAGAAGGAAGATTGACTGAACGTACTGTCCCATGTGGGGACACAGAGGGAGAAATCAGGCAGTCTCATCAGGAATGACCTTCGAATATTCCACACCCTTCCCCCGCCCATGGATGTGGGAGCCATCCCCCCATGGTAACCGACAGAAAAGTTGTATATTCTGCTCTTTTGGGGACACACGATCTCATATCCAATTCTCACGTTGCTGTGGAGTCTTCATAATGATCTTTTTTTCGTTTGTTTGCAATGGGAGCCTCTTTGAGAGACCCATAAGACGTCAAGCTGCGCACACTAATTCTCTTCCACAAGTCTCTTTGCAGCCACGGTCAGGGAGATTTTTCACTCTCGGTATAAAGAACCACGAGGGCTGTGAGGCTGAGAGCCGCTCGGTGAGCCCTTCCGGTGGCTTCACTGGAACGCACCTGTCTCCTCCACTCCCTAAACAAACTTCATTTCGGGTAAAATAGGGCCCTGCTTCAGTGACTCACGCCCCAGGGTGTGAGCACTCCACTCCAGGCTTTAACGCTGGATGCCGCCTGTCCAGCAAACAGGTGACACGCGTCGGTAGCTCTGCCACCCCCTGGCCGCGTGTCCTTGGGTCGTGAATGGCACCTTTCCGGATTGCCTTATGGATCAAATGAGCTACACTTGTGAGGACCAACAGCAGCACCCAGCGGGGTCTTGTATTTGTTAAATAAATGGGTGGATTTTAAAACATCAGTGATGTTTTAAAATTTTGATTTTGAATCAAACCCAATGTATTGGGTCTGGCCAGTTCTCCTCTGAGCCACCCCAGAATGCACAGTAAACGAGGTTATCCAGGGTGAGTGCCCCTCACAGCAGGAAGTAAAATGAAAATAATGGAGGGGAGACCACCACTCCCTCACTGAGTACCAGCCTCTGTTAAAGGGGGTCAGGTGGTGTTGAGCACAACTGCTTTGTTTGTGTCAGAACTATGACTGGGGCATGGGCTTCACTGAGAACCCACAGCCCAGCAACACAGAGTAGAGTCTCGGAAAAAGAAAATCTTCTTAAAAAGAGCCTAAAATTTAGATATATCCCTAGTGGGAATGAACAGTTCCCATTTTGCATAGCAAATGATGGGGCTTTATTTAATAGTGTCATTCAGCCATAACATTTTGCTTTTTTTTTTTTTTTTTTTTTTAAAGAGTAAAAGAAGGATAACATAATAATAGGGGGGACTTAGCAAATTACAGACAAAATGGTAGGAAATTATCAATGGTTATCGTTTTACATATTATTATCTACAAAATAGTTTCTCAGGAAAACAAATAGACAAATAATAGTGAGTTAGAGACAAAAGAGGTAGGAGATTATCAACAGTTATTGTACTATACTTCGGTATCTTCAAAGTGGCTTCTAAAGAAAATAAATAGAGCTATACATGAGTGACCTATTGGAAAATCATTAACTATTCTCAATGGTTGTTGTAGGAAACACATAATAATAAACATACATCCATTTATGAAATAGGATAGGAACATTACAAACTTTACACAGTTATGGATAGATTAGTAGGAAAATATCAATGCCTGCTGTAATACATGGTGGTATCTTCAAAGTGGTTTCTCAGGAAGACAGAGATATGAAAGAAGGATCTAATAAGTAGTTACAGCCTAAGGGTTGTCAAAAAAACATTTTGAGTATATTTAATGTGGAAAGTATCACTGGGTGGGTGGTGCACTTGTGTAAATCCAGCACTAAGGAGGCTGAGGCAGGAGGATTGCCAGGAGTTCAAGGCCAACCTGGACTACATAGTGAGTTCAAAGTCAGCCTCAAATACGTGGTGAGAACCTGTCTCAAAAAAGTATACCATCTTGTGTTCTCAATTCGTGGTTGCTTATACCAAAGTGGATAAAAACAACTCTGCATATAATGTGAATAGCTAGTAATGTTTTGAAGTGCTTAATTTGGAGCGTATCAAATGTGCACCTTGTTTGATATAATTGAGATGACCTAAAATGTTAAAAGAGAAGCAAGTTCAAATGTTACAGGTTTCTCTTATATGAGAAAACAAAATTCTAAATAAAGATCAAAATAAAAGGTAGGTAATGGGGAGATTTTTGCAAAAGAGAAGGGGACCAAGAAATGGGGGGGGGAGACAAAGCAAAAAGAATTAAAACCAAATGTCCATCAACCGAGGAATGGATAAAAAAGATGTAGTATTTTTGTACAATGGGGTATTGCTCAGATATAAAGAAAGACAAACTCAAGGCTTCTATGGATAAATGGATGCAACTTGAGACCATACTCATAAGTGAAATAAATCCGAGCTGCATGTGTTAACACCATATTGTCTCCCTAGTATGACAAACTGAAAGAGTAAATAAGATCCAAAAGGTGCAATAGATATTGTGAAAGGGAAAGAAATTGCTCAAAAGAAGGAACAACTGGGATGGGGGAAAGGAGAAAAGAAGGAAGGGGGAAATATATATATATACACACAAATATATATAAATATATATGTACACACACACAAAAGATAGCTAAGATAACTGTATTACTAATTTCTATCAGTTCACTGAAAGGAACAGTTAGTGGGTATATTCTTAATCGATTTTGCACTCCTACATCTGGTAATCTGAGCAACTACTTTGAAGATAACAATATGCAATATAATAACCATTGATAACTTCCGATCATCTTGTTTTGAAATAATGCATCGTTTTTATTTTTTCTCTCTTTACAATAAAAAAGAAGAAGAATTAAAATGTGTCATGTATATGGACTCACTCCCCACAAGGAATGTCGTTATTATGCACCACAACACGTATAATAAAAAATAAAAATTGAAAAAGAAATTGATCACATTTTAATGATAGCCTAGAAGTCCATTACATATAATGTAGTGGTATACTTTCCTATTTAGAAAAATAATTTTTTTTAGCAACACAAACAACTTCTGCCTAACTCAAATTGCTTTAAGTCCAATTGGACTTTCATAGGTCAGTTTTTAAAGGTTGAGCAGAGCTATGAAAAAGCTTTAAATATTTTCTCAAAATAGAAATAGGCTTTAGACATTGTATTTTGTTAAAAATGTATATTAGTTTAAAAAATATGTATACACAAACATATATTTCAGAAAAATATAAGGAAGGAAAGGGATTTATCACTACTGACTACTGTTCCTTTTGTTATATAATGTCACAGATCATTTTTTAGGGATAAGCACATACAGACATACAAAAACTTTTTCCTCATTAAATGTCTTCGTATTCTACAGTTTAATTCTTAACATATATATTTATTTCATGAACAAGCACATGCCATTTCCTGATAGGTTTATAACCTTTAGCCATTTTAAGCTATTTTTGTTATTTCTTTATATTTCTATATTGCACACAATTGGACCTTTCCCTCATTTATACACTTCTCTTTAAGGAGACTGGAAACTCTTTGAAGCAAGGGCCCTTTCTGATTCCTTTGTATCCATAAGGGTGGTCATATCTCTACCTCACTCATGGCAGGTGTTCGACAAACATGTGTAGGGTGATTGGTTCACTTGCTTGGAAAATGTCACTCCGGTGCAATTTTTGAGCCCAAAGATAAGCCTCCCGAGAGCCAGTGTGAGCACTCACGTAACCTGGCATTGTAAATCACATCCTAACCATCAAGCCCCAGACATATAAAAGGGGTCCACTACCCAAATAAGCAGTTATACATGGACACAAAAGACAGAAGAAAACATTATTACTTTGGGTGAATGAGTGTGCTTCTACCATGCTTCAAGGAAGTGCTCGCCTAAAGGTCCATGTCAGGAAATTTGCCTTTCTGGGGTCTTCTGTGGACAGCCATTATTATAGTTACATTTCTAACCATTTTAATAGGTGACTGAGTTCACTTATTCCCGCTCACTTTTCTTCTTTAAAAACAAAGGTGATTGGCCAGACACTGCCTGGGGTTCCCTTCATCCCCGCCTACTGGGCACCGGCCGTGTGCCCGCCCAGTGCCAGCTCCCTAAGTGAGCATTCCCAGGGTTTTTGCTGCTGCAGGACAGCCCACTGGGGAGACCTGTGCCCGCAGTCCCCGGCACGTGGTGAAGAGATGGTCATGACCACCTTGTCCATCAGCTTTGGGGCCCAGTGCACACCACTCACAACGACCGTAAGAACACCACTAGAGCTGTGTCAGGGAAGAGTTTAAGACGCCTAGCCTTAATCTTGCCTTGGGCACCATCTCTGGACAATAGAAAGACAATCTACTGAAAGGAAATGTCACAGAGACCATGACTTCCATGCTGGGAGTATCACGTTTATTAGAACACAGACAACATGCTAAAGGAGCTCCCGCGCAGTCCAAGGAGGACGCAAGACTCTATCAGCTGTTCTGAAAGGCGTCTTCAACGCACTGCACAGGCTACTTTGAAGAGATGAGGAGCAGGGTTGTCAGGATAATGGGGTGTTCTGTCCGGGTGTGGTGAGCTTTGGCAGGATAGACCTGACCACCATCTGGGGACCTTCAGTGACCATGGGGGAGCTCAGCATTGGCAGGGGTCAAGGCTGGGGCCCCTGCAGGTCACCCGGCACGGAGCAGGCTGGCAGCACGGAGGGCGGCAGCAGGGTGCCTGCACGCTCACCGGCTGGCAGCAGGTGGACGCCCAGCAGCAGGGCCTGCACACCACGGCCGTGCACGACGACGGGCAGCAGGTGATGGGGCGGCAGCAGCCCTCCTGCAGGCCGCAGGGGTCGCAGCACACGGGCCTGGGGCAGGGCTCGACGATGGGGCGCGTGTAGCGGGGCACGCAGCTCACGGGCCGGCACACGGTGGTCTGGCAGGACACGGGGCGGCAGCAGCAGGGGTCGCGGCCGCAGCAGGGCTGCAGGCAGCCGCCCCCGCAGCTCAGGGAGGAGAAGGAGCCGCAGCAGGACATGGTGGAGCCGAGTGGAGAGGTGGAGGCGTGGGAGGAGCTGGTTCTCAGAACTGATGTCCTCCTCCCGGGCTGGGGCCTTTATATACCCTGGCCGGGGCTCCTGACCCCTAGCTCACATGATCACTTGTTTTTGTTACTACTCCTGAAATGACACTTGCTGGTTAGGAATTTCTTGAGACATCTTTTAGGTGCTGGGGGACTCATAAAAAGCTACTTCTCTTATTTACTGGAGACCTATTACATTTTGCTATTTATAGTTCAAGTATGAACTTAATGACCCTTAACTTCAAGCTCTCCAATTATCTTTACCATTTGATGATTCTCTTGCCAGCTTCTGTCCTGCGCAGGTGGCTGACGCGCCCTTTGGGGTTACTCACTGACCTGGAGAGTGAATTCACCAAGTTGTGAGCGCTGCTCCCCACTGCTAAGCCTCCCAGGCAAAGCAGATGCAGAGTAACATTACAGGAACATTTTTGAAATCTAGTGTTTTTCTTCTATCAGAGCTGGAAAGGTGGAGGGAGGCTCTGAAATCCTCACAGAGAAAGCTGGACGAGGTAAACCGAAGGAGAAACTCTGCAGGCCAAAATGCAGTATCAGAGGGGTCTGGGAAGGGAAGCCAGACTGTTCCTGGGGAGCTGCACCCCTTACACCCAGGTCCTGTGTCCACAGCATCTTGGGGAGGATCGGTGACCTGAGGGTTGGCACTGACATTTCAGGTGAGGCCTAGCCAATTGGCTCTCAGTCTTACTGCAGTCCCCACCTGGGGGTCGACCCTGGAAAGTGATATCCACAAGCCACAGCATCAGAGAACTGAAAACCAGAGAGCGGGAGGGAAAAAGAATCGCACCATTCTGGTGAGGGAGCCCAGTCTGAGCACCGAGGAAGCCCTGGGCTGGCGGCTGTGTGAATGAGCAGGGTCTGTGAGCGGCGGGACTCCCTGAAAAGGAGAGGTTGGGCTAATCCAGAAATAAATACTTGTCTGTCCCTTTCCCAAAATGCTGTGCTTACAGGACATCCTGCAAGCTATCCACGCCGCAGGGGAGCCCCACCTCTTGCTGCAGAGGGATGCTGGAAGCTAGGTTTGTGAGGTAGGGAGTGATTCTTAAAGAGAGTCCTGAGCAAGGACCACAGCTGGAGGCAGAGGAGAGGCTGCCAGCATCTCAGGCTGCGTGGTGAAGGGCTGTGGGGTGGGACGCTTACCAGCACAAGTACAGAGAGGACCACAGGGTTTGCAGGGAAGGAAAAGGTTCCTGGCGGAAGGTGGTGGAGACCAGCTGTACCCCACAGCCTCCCCTACACAAATCACAGTGACTGAGATGCCTGGAACTTAGGACAGGCACGGAGGTCTACTGGGAGCCATGCCCACAGCGAGGCTTGCAGCGGAAAGCTAGTCCCAGGTCAGCCAGCCTCCTTACCCCCAGGCAGGTGCCCGAACCGTTTGTGGGGCCGCGGGCAGCTGGAACTCAGCGTGAAACGCTGCATGACGCTCAGACTGCAACGTGGAAGGGTCCGTGAGGGCACTTTGATTTTGTTTTTGCAACTACAAGGTAGTTTGGGGAGGGGTGTTTTTTTCCTTTCTTTTTTCTTTTCTTTTCCTGTCCTTCCTACCCCTTCCTTTTCTCCTTTTATCTGACACAGACAAAGCAGGTATCTGTATGCGTGCAAATGAAAATAAGGATTAACCAGTGCTTTAATCTAAATAGTACCTTTCATGGGCAGGTCAAGGTAACCCTCACCAAAACCGTGCATAGAGGATCCAAAGTAAGCTAATTACTAGCACAGGACTGGGTTTTATCTCAGTTTTCCTCAATCTCTGATTATACTTCCCCCTGTCTGTGTCCTTTCTTCCAGAAATACATTCTCAAACCCTCTCAACAATAACTCTTCACTCCAGCTATAAAAAAATGTCAACAGAGTCTGATTTGCTTCCTGTTCTTCACCTATTGGTACTTCTCCTGTCTCCCCGTCTCTTCTTACTAACTTTGTCTCTTTCTCTTCTCCCTCTTTCTTTCTTTCTTTCTTTCTTTCTTTCTTTCTTTCTTTCTTTCTTTCTTTCTTTCTTTCTT